AAACATTCCACGAGACACCCACGAAACATTCCACGACGACAGGCAACCACTCAAGCCTAGTGGGTTTGTGGTCGTTGCTGGGGAGTAGGTAGTGCGGGGTTGTGGTCTGTGCTGGGGGGTGGGTGGTCGTGCTGGGGCGCGTGGTCGTGCTGGCAGGGGTGTGGCTCGTGCTGGGGGGATTTGTGCTGGGGCGGGTCGTGCTGGGGCCCGTGGTCGTGCTGAGGGGGCTCGTGGTCGTGCTGTGGGTGTGGGTCGTGCTGTGGTGAGGTCGTTGCTGGGGAGTGGAGGTGGTGGTGCTGGGGGTGTGGTCTTCTGGGGGGGTGAGGTCGTGCTGGGGGCGGTGGGTCGTGCTGGGGGGGTGTGTCTCGTTCTCGTGCTGGGGGGTGTTTTGTGCTGGGGGCCGTGGGTCGTGTGGGGTGCGGTGGGTTCGGTGGCTGGGGGCGTGGTCGTGCTGGTGGTGTGGTCGTGCTGGGGGTGAGGTCGTGCTGGGGGTGTGGTTCGTGCTGGGGTTGTTGGTCTTGTTAGGTGGGGTCGTTGCGGGGGGGTTGCGGTTTTCGTGATGGGGTGTGGGTCGTCTGCTGGGGTGTGGTCGTAGCTTTTGGGGTTGTGGTGTTGCTGGGGGTGTGGGGTCGTGCTGGGGTTTGTGGTTGTGATGGGGTGTGGTCGTGCTGGGGTAATCGTGGTCGTGTTGGGGTTTGTGGTTCGTGCTGGGGTGTGGTCGTGCTGGTTTGGTTCGTGCTTTGCTTGGGTGTGGGGCGTGTGGGGGCGTGGGTCGTGCTGGGGTGTGGGGTCGACGTTGCTGGGTTGTTGTCGTTGCTGAGGTTGTTCATCCGCTTTGTGATTTTTTCGATCGGGGAGCGGAGATTTCAAAAAACAAGCGTTTCGGCTCGAGACATCCTCAAATTTTAATCCGCCGGCCTCCTTCGACCTCGATATTTATCAGGGAAAAAATCCGCCGGCCTCCTTCAAGTTGGCACCGGGGGATTAGGTTTACCAACTAAAAGAGAACCCTGGGCCCGCGCCCTTTCCGGGAATAAGAGGAATCAACAGCTTCCTGACCAACTCTCTCGACATCTATTTCGAGCGGGCCCTCGGAAAAAAATGCATGAAACAAGGTTTGTTTCACAGCTGAGTACGTAGGCACAGAGGAGGCGATCGATTACGAGGCGACCGTCAACTTGCACCAACTTTTTTTTAATGGAGAGCTGAAGGGGCACCTTATCGAAGGCCTCACACAGGTAGAGCAGAGCGTTGAACACGATGCTTAGCAGAACCTATCACAACAGAGTACACAGACAGTGGTGAATGCCAACATTCCACGCAGGAAAACGAAGAAAAAACTAAAGCACGCGTTGCGGGAATGCGACGCGCATGTCTCGGCGAGAAAGAATGGTTCTTGGGCAACCATTCACGAGACGATCAGGACGGGGCACCCTCAGTGGCAAAACTGACGGGGACCATGTGCAGAAACGATGTCTCGGACTAGTTTTTCAAAAGTAAAACAGGCATCGACGCAGGCCCTAACCCGACGCCACCCCAGCTGGAGCACAACGATGACATGTCGGTCGACAGCGAAAGCTTCCGGGCTGTGGCAGGAGACGGGGCGGCACCGGCAGGTCAGATCCGTGTCGCTCTACATCGGGCATGAGACGGGGCACGTCATGGGCCGGGACACTCGCGCAACACAAAGGCGTCACTCGTAGGTGCTGCACAGAATGGGCAGAGGTCAACTCGGCATTGAGATGGGCGGCATGGGCTTGGGCAAAGCAGCTATACACTGTCGGTTCTGAATAGGCGAGCAAGGGATTGGCGGCAATCATTCCAAGGTAACACATACGCTTCAGATCTCATCAAGACCTCTGGAAACGCACTCAAACAGCTATGCGTCCCAAGGGGGGGGAGAATTTCAAAGTAAGAAGACAAAAGGTAATCAGACAACTGAACTTATGGAAAGGGACAACGGCTGCAGGGAAGAAGGCTCGCTTTCATTACGAACAAGAAGTTGTTCGGGCAGTCAAGGGACAACAGGGGCCAAAAATTGACGAGGACACCATCCAAAAGTACACAGATCGGATCAAACTTACGCGAGAGGCACAACGCAGGCTTATCGACGTCATTCCGCCTGGAGCAGCAAAAGAACTTCGATTGTCTGGCAAGACGCACCGCGGAGCTCAAATTCAGAAACATCTTAATCCACAATGGAAACTTGCGGAGCAGGTTCACCCACATCCCGAGGAGGTGGAGGACCCTGTCGGCCTCGAGAAGAGATCTGCACGAGGAGCCAGACACATCCGGACAGGACGAAATTGAGAGGGGGAAGTTGCGAACCACCAACACCACTGGACCCACATCCCGAACCCAGACGGGAACGAAGGCAACACACACACACACATACACCGAAGCGACAACAACAGGAGGGACGACTGTGGGAGACCCATGCTGTTCACAACAAGCAGCGAGCAGTGGCATCAGTAGACAAGCCCCAGCTGCTCCCACCCAAAAGGGAGCGCGAATCGAACGGAAAAGGCGCGTGTACGATGGCAACCTTGCCCGGTGAAAAAGGGGGCGGGATCCGGACAAAATGAAAACATGATGGACCCACGAACCCGGAAAGGGATATAGACATGTGGAGCATGGGCACGTTTTCACGATACCCAACGGGGCAACACCTCACGAAACATCCCACGAGACACCTCACGAAACATCCCACGAGACACCTCACGAAACATTCCGCGAGACACCTCACGAAACATTCCACGAGACACCCCGCGAAACATTCCACGAGACCCCCCACGAAACATTCCACGACGACAGGCAACCACTCAACCAAGGCGGTGTGGTCGTGCTGGGGAGTGGTCGTGCTGGGGTGTGGTCGTGCTGGGGGGTGGTCGTGCTGGGGTGTGGTCGTGCTGGGGGGGTGGTCTGCTGGGGGGTGGTCGTGCTGGGGGGTGGTCGTGCTGGGGGGTGGTCGTGTGGGGGGGTGGTCGTGCTGGGGGGGGTGGGGCCGTGCTGGGGTGGGGTCGTGCTGGGGTGGGGTCCTGCTGGGGTGTGGTCGTGCTGGGGTGTGGTCGTGCTGGGGTGGGGTCGTGCTGGGGTGGGGTCGTGCTGGGGTGTGGTCGTTCTGGGGTGTGTTCGTGCTGGGGTGTGGTCGTGCTAGGGTGGGGTCGTGCTGGGGTGGGGTCCGTGCTGGTGGTGGTGTGGTCGTGCTTGGGGTTGTGGTTTCGTGCTGGGGGTTGTGTCGTGCTGGGGGTTGTGGGGTTCGTGCTGGGGTGTGGGGGTCGTGCTGGGGGTTGGGGTCGTGAAGGGGATGTGGTCGTGCTGGGGTGTGGGTCGTTTTTGCTGTGGCGTGGTCGAGCTGGGGGGGGGTGGGGTCGTGTGCTTGGGTGGGGTTCGTTGCTGGGGTTATGTGGTCGTGCTGGGCTGGTCCGCAACCCTTCGTGATTCACGATTCGTGGTTCGTGCTGGGGTGTGGTCGTGGTGGGGTGTGATTCGTGGTGGGGTTTTGGTTAGTGTTGGGGTGTGGTCGTGCTGGGGTGTGGTCGTGCTGGGATGTGGTCGTGCTGGGGTGTGGTCGTGCTGGGGTGTGGTCGTGCTGGGGTGTGGTCGTGCTAGGGTGGGGTCGTGCTGGGGTGGGGTCGTGCTGGGGTGTGGTCGTGCTGGGGTGGTCCGCACCCTGTGATTCATCGATCGGGTCGTGCTGGGGTGTGGTCGTGGTGGGGTGTGATCGTGGTGGGGTGTGGTCGTGTTGGGGTGTGGTCGTGCTGGGGTGTGGTCGTGCTGGGGCGTGGTCGTGCTGGGGCGCGTGGGTCGGCTGGGTGGTGGTCGTGCTGCGGGCGTCGGTCGTGCTGGGTGGGGGGTGGTTTCGTGGCCGTGGTGAGGTCGTGACTGGGGTGTGGTCGTGCTGGGGTGTGGTCTTGCTGGGGTAGGGTCGTGCTGGGGTCGGGTCGTGCTGGGGTGTGGTCGTGCTGGGGTATGGTCGTGCGGGGGTGGGGTCGTGCTGGGGTGGGGTCGTGCTGGGGTCTGGTCGTGCTGGGGTGTGGTCGTGCTGGGGTATGGTCGTGCTAGGGTGGGGTCGTGCATTTCGCTCGAGACATCCTGCCAAAATTCCAGGAAATCGTACAAAAACAAAGGAATTTGTCGAGACATCATCGAAATTCCTTCGCGCGGGGCGTTTTTCCGCGTCGTGGTCGGCTCTGCCAAAACAAGCGTTTTCGCTCGGAGACATCCTCGGCAAATCTGCGGAGCAAGCGTTTTTCGCTTTCGAGGAATTCCTCAACACGACGAATAAAGTGTCCCGCCACCCTAGTGATTTATCGCTCGGGGGATTTCAAAAAAAACAAGCGTTTTTTCGCTCGGAGACATCCTCCAATTTTAATTCGCCGGCCTCCTTCGACCTCGTTATTTATCAGGGAAAAAATTCGCCGGCCTCCTTCAAGTTGGCACCGGGGGACAGGTTTACCTACTAAAAGAGAACCCTGGGCCCAGGCCCTTTCCGGGAAAAAAATCCCGAACTCCTGGCGGGAGCCGTGACCGATAAACATCCGCGCGCCACCACTGCTGCACAAAAAGCCCCTGCCTATGAAATGTAGCAAACGCTGACGCTCGGTGCTGGCAGTGGTCGCAAACTTGTATAGAGACTGGTCCACCTACCACTTCGAGCTTGCTGCATTTCCACTGGGGGTCCTACGAAGAGCGGTGAAAGACCCGACCCTAGACAGGGACACCCTGCGCCCAGCTTCGCCCGCACCCAGGGGGCGCGCCGGGGCGCTGCGAGGGCCCGCGGGCTGGCGGCGCGGGCGCGCAGCGCGCGGCGCGTCGTCGGACTCGTGGCCGCCGCTTCGGAGGCCCAAATAATAAAGCAGGATGGACAACAGCATCAGCAACGGCAGCAAACGGTTGCACGCTGCCAACTGCCGCTTTGCATGGGGGGGCTCGGCCTGCGAAGCGCGCCCAGGACGGCGCCGGCGGCCTGGTGGGCTTCCTGGGCAGACTGCGCGCAGATGCTCCGCGAACGCTGCCCCGAGCTCACAAACCAGATCTGCGCTGCACTGAGCGAGCTGGACCGGGGCCCGCTGCCGGCCGCTCCCGGGTGCTTACAACAAGCCAGCAGGGCAAAGGAGCACCTCTCGGCGCACGGCTTCGCCGCGCCCAACTGGCACGACCTTGCGCAGGGCGCCCGGCCACCGCCGACGCTCGAACGGGAGCACGGCGAATGGGCGCACGGCTGGCAGTTCTGGGCCGCCAGAGTCTTGGAGAACACAGCCCGACAGCAGCTCCTCAACGCCTCCACGCCACCGGACCGCGCCCTCCTCCGGTCACAGAGCGGGCCGTGCGCGGGACGAGCCTTCACCGCGCTGCCCACGACGGGGGACTTCCACATCCCGCCGGCAGAATTCAGAGTCCTGCTCCTCAGGCGCTTGCGATTTGATTTACCCTTCGCAGCGAGCGCTTGCAGGTGCAGAGGCAGACTGGACGCCAGAGGTGACCACAGAGCGGCGTGCCCAAGGGCAGGGGTGCTCAAGAAGAGATCCATCCCATTGGAGAAAGCGGCAGCACGTATCTGCCGCGAGGCCGGGGGCCGAGTCGCAGAGAATCAGCTCCTGCGAGACCTCAACGTGGACGGCGTCGACCCCCGCGACGGGCGCAAGATCGAGGTCATCGCGAACGGCCTGCCGCTCTGGGGAGGAGCGCAGCTGGCGATTGACGCGACCCTGGTGTCGCCAGTCCGCACCCACGGCACCGCGCAGCCCAGAGCCGCGGACGAGGACGGAGTCCAGCTCGCGGTCGCGCGGGGCCGGAAGGAAGCGACCTACCCCGAGCTCATCGGGTCAAGGAGATGCCGATTGGTTGTGCTGGGCTTGGAAGTCGGCGGCAGGTGGTCCGAGGAGGCCCTGACCTTCGTCCGGCTGCTCGCCAGGACCAGAGCCCGCAGCGCGCCGCAGCGACTCCGAGCGTCGGCGCGGGCGGCGTACCTACACCGCTGGACAGGCTTGGCCGCGGTCGCGGCCCAGACGGCGTTCGCGGCCACGCTGCTGGAGTTGCCGTCGCACACCCTGGCCGTCGACGGGGACGGGCCGCACCTCGCCGACCTCCTGGCGGACGCCCGCTGCACGGAGACGCTGGCCCCTAGCCGACTGCCGCCGGGTTTCTGATGCGGTGGAACGGGCGCGGCCCCACCCCGGGGGCCCGCCCGCCGGCGCAGCAGGAGGACCAGCAGAACCACGACAACCACTACCACAACTGCGACAACAAGCAGCGGCAGCAGCTGCAGCATAACCGCCACCACCACGCCTACGACCAGCAGCGCCACCACCACCAGCAAGGCGACCAGCACCACCGCCACCACGACGGCGACCAGGGGCAGCACGGCGACCAGCAGCACCACGACAACAACTACCACCACAGCGACAACAAGCAGCAGCAGCAGAAGCAGCAGCAGCAGCAGCACCACCACTACCACCACCACAACCTCTACGACTACCACCAGAAGCGCCGCCACAACTTGCACGGCGACCAGCACCACCACCACGACGGCGACCAGGGGCAGCACGGCGACCAACAGAAACACGACAACTACTACCACAACT